ACCAGTGGACTCAGGTCAGGCGGCCCCAGGGGACAAGGGGCTGTGGAGACCCTGGGTTCAAGCTGAGCCCCCAGCTCCACACAGGAGGGTGGCCTCGGGTGGGGCCCAGTGCCTGTGTGCTATCTCCCTGGGCCCTGGGACTAGGGTTTGCAGTGGCCGCTGGCTGCAGCCTGCCCGGCTTGCCCTTCCCAGGGACCATGGCTGCTTCTTTTTCAGGGGTGAAGACATATTGCAGATTGATCTCACTGTTGGAAACAGGATAATTAAGGCCGTTGTTTCTCTCTTCATCACCGTCATAATAAAATGAGGGCACAGAGGCTTGTGACGGCATGGAGCAGGGTGCGTCTTAATGCAGGGGAATCTTAATTGAATACAGATGGCTGGGCTTGAAGTTGCTGAGCTATATTCCAGAGATATGGGATAACGATGCCATTTAATCATCTTTACAAGATATAAAATTACTGGCTTCTCCAGGAAGATCATTAAGGAAAACAATTGCTCACAGAAATTGAAAATAGGGTTTTAATTATTTAATACAGAAATTAAACTATTACAGACCAGGTTGGACAAGGCAGCTTAATGGGAATTTATGGACAAGTGTCTGTGAGCATTTTAGTTTTATTAACCTCCCTAATTCCTTAATCCAGAGCAATCCGAAGGCTGACCGGCCAGGTGGGTGAGCACTGGGGTGTGGACTCGCTTCCCTGAGGGGCCTGAGAGTGCCAGTGGTCACCCAGGGAAGCCCAGGAGCACCCCCTTCCAGGGAGAGGTTCCGGAGCCCAGAGAGATTCCCAGAGGGAGTACAGACAGGCAGGAGGCCACGTGGGGAGGGCGGCCCTGGAGCACTGGGGCCGGCAGACGAGGCCCGGCCTCCCATGCTGCGGAGGAGGCAGTGGAGGCTGGGAAGGTGGGCAGAGAGCTGGGCCTCAGGCACTGGTCTTACGGTGGAGCTGCCAAGGACATGCCCAGTGCTGCCCTTCAGGACCCAAGAGGAGGTGCTCTGAGGTCGGTGGTCAGCTCTCCCCTAATCCCCGTCGGCAGCGACTTCAGGGCACCCGTCAGGTCTCAGGTGTGGCTGGGGCAAGGGCTGGCAGAGCAGGGCCCTGACCTGGGGGCCTGGTGCTGATTTGGGTTGGCAGGGTCGCAGTGCACCCCTCGCCCTCCCTGAGGACCTGGACTGGGGCCTGCAGCCGGACACTGGGCTTTGCCTCGTTCCTGCCTGACTGCAGGCGCTTTGGGCCAGCTTGAGGGTTAGGGCTGTTGGGATGGGTGGGACCCGGGCTAGAACCCTGATGTGGGAAGTCCTCCCCATGGTCAGTGAGGATACTGTCGCTGATGGTGCCAGGGAGAGGCCTGTGCTGGCCTGGACGAGGCCTCACACTTGGCCATGAGGGAGGCTTTCCCCTCTGACCTACTCTTTTTTTTCATATTTTCCAAATTTCCTATAATAAAACCTTTTGTTAATAAAAACCTTGATTTTAAAAGTATGGAAAATTTCAAGAGAAAAACTAAGGACATTAATAGTGGAGGTCTAGGTGGGGGCTCAGGCCTCAGGCCCTGCTCCTCCCCGCCCTGCCCAGGGCCACCCCCTGGTGTCCCAGCACTGGTGTCGACTCTTGCTGTACCCACCAGAGGCCCAATACAAAGATGGTGCTACAAAGGAGGCACCAGCCCATACACACAGACGGCAGGCCGACTGCATGGCCCATAAACACGGACGGACGGACGGCCAATTGCGTGCAGCCGGTCCACACTGAGGGCACCTCCCAGGAGGCATAGCAGGTGCCTGCTCAGTCTCCAGGAGAGGAGCTGGGCTCTGGAGTGGCCTGCTGGAGGCCGTGAGCCCAGCAGGGTCTAGCTTGGTCCAGGTCCCTAATGTCCATCCAAGGTGCATCCCTCAGCTTTGATTCCAGGAGGTGACTCCTCTCCTCCCTGCTGCCCCAACCCACGAGGGTCACTGGCAGTGGACAGCCCAAGGCTGGGCATGCTGGGGAGGTCGTCTTCTGGAGGCCAGGCCCTTGAGCCCAGCGCCCTTTGCTGACCTGGTCTCTCTGCTGTGTTCAGAACCCTCAGAGCCGGGCGCTCTGTCTCAGGCCATCTACCATTCGAATTGCCTCCTGTCTCCCATTATTACCAATAAATCCCTCGAGATCTTTTTTCTTCTTATAGTTTTAGGGTTACATAAATTTCACCTATACAATTTTTTCATGCGTGAATATATTACAGAAAGCCACTTCTGCTATAGAAGCTAATTGATAATGTGATTTGTTATGTTGCCGGCACATAATTCAGAAAGTTATTTTAAGGCTCTGATGCGTGGAGAGCACTTGTGTTCCATATTTCTCACTCGGGGTGGACACGGCCTGCGGAAACAGATGTGCTGCTGCAGGTGAAATATTCTCAGAAGCTTTTACCCTTGTTGTTTGGGTGGGTGCCAGCGTTTCCCTGGAGAAAGCTCATATTTCCAGGGCGTCTTTGATTTGAATTTATTCCCTGGTCATTAGTTAGGTATTTCATAAAAGCCAGAACAAGTATGTGTGTATGTTTGAAAAAAAGGGAAATCAACCACAGAAGAGTCGCACATAGGATGGGGAAAGAGTCCCTGCAGGACGGGGAGGATGTGCGTTTGACACATTTTTATGTCAATCAATGATTGACCCCAGGAAGCTGCAAAAGCAGTGCTCAGCCCCTGCCCTGTTCCACGTTGTGGCTTCAGTGACTTGTGGTCCACCCTGCTGGAAAATAGGTGGAGAAAGCCTAAAAGAACCAAATGGCTCCTAGTCCTCCGGGTCAGGGTGCTGTGGCAGCACAGGGAGCCTGGCACGGCCCCGGTACAACGCAAGTCAGCCCCGGCTGTGGATCCTGCTCCATGGCTGCCTGTACCCCAGGTCAGTGCCACCCCCTGGTGTCCCAGAACTGGTGTGGACCCTTGCTGTACCCACCAGAGGCCCAATACAAAGATGGTGCTACAAAGGAGGCACCAGCCCATACACACAGACGGCAGGCCGACTGCATGGCCCATAAACACGGACGGCGGGCCAATTGCGTGCTGCCGGTCCACACTGAGGGCACTGGGAGGAGGGCACAGGGTCCCCCTGTGGCAGGCAGGGCACCTGGCCCCTCCACCTCTCTGGGGGAGGCTTTTGCACAGCTGCAGGAAGTGGCAAAATCAGGAACTGACCTTGGCTCAAGTTGCTGGAGAGCCTCATGGGACCTTCAGTCCACCTAGTGTGGAGCTGACACTGCCTCAATCAAGACACAGAACTGGTGGTCACAGCTTCCTCTGCCACCCACTCCCATCCCTGCCCAGGGCAGCCCTGATCTGTCTGTCACAACGCTTTCATGGTTCTGACACTGGAACCCTCGTGGCCTCCCTGGCTGTGGGCCCAGTGGCTCATTTGGTGATGACTACTCTGGTTTGGGTCTGGAATGTCCCCAGAGGCCCATCTCCCCAGGGTGGTACTTTGGGGGGTGAAACCTTTGGGGGGCCCAGTGGAGGGTCTTCAGGTTAGTGGCCTTGAGGACCATGAAGTCAGCTCGGCTCTGCCATCCGCTGCCCACCACGATGGGCCTGGCCCCCACTGAGGCATACTGGGGCCTCCGAAACCGGAGTCACAGTGAAGGCCGGCAGGCTCTGCTCACCTTTGCCCGCCGGGTGAGGTTGGGTTTCCGGCTCCTGCTGCTAGGACCGTCCTGCTGGGTGTTGGCGCAGCAGGGCAGCGGCAGGTTTAGTCTTGTAGGACCAGCTCGCTCCCCAGAGGGCCCGAGCCTCCCTGTGCCCGACAGGGGCTGGGCGCCCCTTGCCGGCCTCTTCCCTGGCAACAGCACTGTCCCCTCAGCTACTTCAATGTCGCCGCATCCTGGTGTCTCGTCCCAGTGCTGATTCACTTGGGCTTTGGAGGCTGGTTTTTGATCACATGACCTGACCCAGGAAGTCTCAGCACTTGCGCCTCAGTGTCACTGTGCCATAGGGGACCAGGTGGGGGCTGGCCAGCAGGTCCAGTCTTGAGGGATGCCTCCTGAAGGTGGGAATGTCCCCAGTGCATGGGCCCTGCAGACACTTACTTCCTCCCCTCCATGCGCACGGCGAGGACCCACCGTGAGCTCTGCCCTGCTTGCTTCTGCAATTTCAGCCCCAGAATGGAGAACAGCTCCACTTGTGGGGTTTAGATATGATCTGAGTGTCCCCAAGGGCCCAAGTGCTGGAATGTGTCCCCACAGTGAGGCACTCAGAGGGTGGGAGCTCGGCGGCCTGTGGTGTTTGGCCCTGGGCCAGGATCTGATGCAGGCCAGATGCAGTGATGGGGTACAGCCCACGACCCTGTGGCTTTAAGAGAAGAGGGACAGAGACCAGAAGAGACACAGTACCTCTCTCTCCTCATGCCAGCAAGGAGTCAGCACCAGGCTGGTCCATTGAACCTCCAGAACTGTGAGCCCAGACTCAGCCCGCTCCTTCTGAGCCACCCAGCCTGTGACATCAAGTCATCAGCAATAGAAAGGGCCAATAGGCCCCCTGGACCCTGGCGGACCTCCAGCAAGGAAGCTGGAGGGACAGTGGGGGTGCAAACTTGGCCTGGGGGACTGTCCTGCCTTCTCTTTCCTTGGTGGAGAGGAAGGCAGGCAGCCGGCCTTCTCAGCCCCATGGGAAGGGGCCACCCAGTGCCCCTCCTGGCCTCGCTGGCCCAGCCAACAACATCAAAACGTGTTGGGAATTTTAAAAGGCCACTCAAGAGGCTCCCCACCCGGAGCCGCAGCCCCCGGGCGCTAAGATGAGCACACCTCTGACTGTGGAAGGCACAGCCCGGGGCCCATCCTCCTCCCGGGCACAGCTGCTACCAAAAGGCAGGAACAGTGCCCCCTTTCAGTTCTGATGGTGTCTGCACCCAGGGCGATGGCAGGAGGGCAAGCGGCCCACGGTGGGGCTCCCATGTTGGGGCTGACCCTCAAGGGCTGGGGTCTGGAACCACACTGCAAGCTTGTTTTTATTGTTTATTTAAACACCAAAACCAAAACCAAGCTTGTGGTCTGACCACTTCTGTTGTCTGAGAGGTGGAGCAGGAACTGGGGAGTGGGCCCTGATGGTGGTGGTCTCTGGGGCTTGTCATGGGCAGAGGCCTGTCCAGGGCTGGGGGAGCCACAGGTGGAGGCCAGGCCAAGGAGTCTGGGGCAGGGGCAGAGCCAAGGGTGGTGGCTTCGGAGGAAAGTGGGACAACCTGGAGCACTGTCACACAATGGCTTGGTTCGGCAGCCCGTAGAGGACCAGGCCCAGGGTGGTGGAGAAGGGCTCCACACTGGGGACCGGCTGGAGGGGCACAGCCCTGTCCTGAGAAGCCTCGTCTGTGGAGCACAAAGGGAGCCCTGAGGGCCTGGGAGTGCAGGCAGCGTGTCCACCCCCACTGAAGGCCAGGGCACAGGGGCCTTGAGGGCTCCCAGCGGGCCAGACCCCAGCTCAGGCCCTTGTGAGCTCCACCTGTGGTGGCTCCTCTCAGGCTGCAGCCACACGAGGGGACAGTGGCAGGATGACTCTGCTCCCCACCATATCCTGCTCTAGGTGGGCATGGCCCAGGACCAGGGCTCTCGGACTATTCCCCATGGGTGGGTCAGTTCAGCCTCACCATATCAGGGCCTTTAGGAACACCTAGGTCAGTACCTGATAGCGGGGATCACGTGGGCACTGTGTGGTCTTGCTACCTGACTGGAAGGTAATGGCCATCCCTGCTCAATAGCCAGGAGCCTGGGAAAATGTCCAGTGCTATTCCTCGGGGCTAGGAAGGGTACTGCCCCACAGCACCCTGCTGATCCCTCACTCACCCACT